CTGCAGTTGGAGGTCTCTCAGCTGGAGGGAAGTCTGCAGCAGCCCAAAGCGCAGTCCTCCATGTCTCCTTATCTGGTGCCAGATACCACAGTTCTCTGCCAGCACCTGGGTCTGCTCAGACAGCTGGCTGCCAGCGGCTGCTTCATCATCATCATCCCTCGCACAGGTCAGCCCGCATGTCTCCTCCCGTCTCCTAATGAGAGTTTCCACAGTTGTGGGAAATCTGGAAATGGCAGGGGATTTAAAAATGGTGTTTTTCAAGTCTGGAAATGTCATGCAATCTTAATTAATTAATTCATTTCTGTAGTGAACACATGTTTATCTGGCTAAACTCTGCTGATCAGCAAGTTATCAGTGTTGTTATTGTTAACTAAAACAATAACACACAAAAAAAAAAATTCATTTTTGATGATTAAAGCTGAAATTAAACATATTTAAAATTTTGATGAAAAACATAAATGAATAAGTTTAAATTAAAGTACTAGAATTACTCAAATTGTAATAAAAATAAAATAAAGCTATATTGAAATACTAAAAAACAAATAAAAATGACACCAGCACATAACAAAATTACTGACAATAAATAACTGAAATATAAACAAATCCAAAATACTAATAAATACTATAATAGTATATAAATAATACTAAAATAACACTACTAGTTATTGTGTATAAGATGAAATAAAATCTGTTTTAATATTTTATGAAAAACTTATGCTTAAACTTAAGAAATGGGTGCTTATGATGTAGTAAAATGACTGAAATAAAAAATATATATATATATATATATATATATATATATATATATATATAAAACACGCATTGTTATTAGTTAACTATCACTAAAACTAAAAATAAAACCATAAAAAACTTTGTTACTCGAAATATATAATCTTGAACTGAAATAAAATAAAATAAAAATGACTTTTTTTATTTCAGTTAAATGCCAAGGCACCATTTCTCATTTTCATCTAGTTTAATTAAAATAATTACAACAAAAACTGAAATAATTAAAAAATAAAAACTAATAAAAATGACAATAACATACAACAAAATGACAATTTTAAAATGAAAATGAAAACAAAAGACATAAAAATAAAAAAATGAAATCAAAATATTACTAAAAACTATAATAGTATCTCAATGATACTAACACTGCTTTAATGTCACATATATAATTTTAATTTTTAGAATAT